GTCCGCGCGCCCGGGTCGCGCCCTCGGTCCTCTCTGATCCCCAGGTGGTGCGCGCGGCATCCCCTGGAATTGAGGGCCGTGCTGAGGGCGCCAGCGGCCGGGGTGCCTTCTACATTCCCGCTCTTCCCTCCCACAAAGCCTGCGCCAAGTAATTTTAGAAGCGGCTGCTGTGACCTCAGGGCCTTTCTCTCCGGCTTGACGCCCTCAGGGGTCTCGGTTTCTCCGGTTGCCGCCTTTCCGGAGAGGGAAATTTATGTTCTGAGCGTGACTACTTTAAAGGGAGCAGCGTTTTCTCCTTGGTTTGGCCCTGGATGTCCCCTCGCATGGGTAGGTGGTGGGAACTTGGTCTGCAGGCTGGGGGGTTTGAATCGTGACTGATGGAAATTATGGACTGTCACGGAGAAAGGTAAATGAGGGCAACTGCGTGTGGAAGAAAGTTCCCTGTAGGGCTTTCTGTGGCCGGCACATTTGCAGTGTCTGTTAGTTTTATTTTTGCAGGGCTGGGAGATGGGAGGGGGAAGATGCAGTCCCTGCTGACGTTTGGGACCTCGGTGCGGGGACGCGCGACCGGCGTCCTGAGACAGTCTGGTTGGAGCTGTCATGAAGGGGCCATGTGACTTCCCGCAGCCAGCTTCTTCCTCGCGACAGCGAAAGGCTAGCATCGGGGCTGGTGGAACGTTTTCTTTTTATGCTTTTGTGTTTGAGTGCTCTGGAGCTGCTGTCTATATCTGCCTATGCCTAGGACTCAGCCTGCCTGGCGCCTGGAGGTGTGTGTGGACCTGGTGAGCTATGGAAAGGGCCCTTTCAGCTCAGAAATTCAGAGTTTGGCACTGAATTATGGCTGACCTGCCAGCGTCCCTTATGAATGAAGTATGACTGTTCACTCATTCATCCGAAATTTAATAGCTGTTGGGCGCCCGTGATTGTGTGCCGTGCAAGCTCTTACACCACACCTACCGGTTGAAAGGAGGTGGTGGATGTGCCTGGCCCTCTGCTCATTTCACCTGACCTCCTCCAGTGAGGTATCTGCTTTCTGTATTGCCTTGCTAAAGCGGCAACTGGCCTACTTTGATACCAGGGCAGTTTTTCTTTTGATTTTTGTTCTTTTCTCTAGCCTTCTTCCCTCCCTCCCTTCCTCCCTCCCTTCCTCCTTCCCTTCCATTCATCCATCCTTCCATCCTGGGAATTGAACCCAGGGCCTTTGCACTGAACCATATCCCCAACACTTTTATTTTTAAAAATTTGAGACAGTGTTTCCCTAACTTGTGATCCTCCTTCCCCAGCTTTCCTGAGGATTGGGGTTACAGATGTGCACCACCACCCCATGCTAATTTCTTCTGGTTTCTTTGCATAAAGTGGGAACTAATTTTTGTGAGAAAATACGTATTTCAGGAAGTATTTTTTTGTTGACTTTTTTTCAGATGGTTGCATGTGGTTGTGTTTTCTGACTGTGGCTTATTAGGCTGAGATTAAAGGGATGTTAACGCGTCTGAAAGTGCTTGCTTTGACAGCACATATACTTTTTTAAAAAAGGAACAATACAGAGATTAGTGTGTCCCCTGTGCAAGGATGACATGCAGATTTGTGAAGCGTTCCATTAAAAAGATGTCTGAAAGATGCTTATGGAAATACTTAAGGGTTTATGGAGGGGTCTTGCCAGTTTGTTTTCTTGCCACACTGTCTTTGGGGAGTGAAGTGTGCTAGGCTTAACTTTGCGGAAACGAGATGAGCATCACAGGGGCAAGCTCACGTAGCTGGTCACTGTTCTGCCACCATGCATGTCCCATCTGTCCATTTACTTGTCCGACCTCCCATTAACTTGGTGCCAGGTGCGGCTAAACAAATCCTTCTTGAATAAAGCCCAGCTTCTTGCACCCAAGTTGTGTAAGGTCTGCTTTGCTGGTTATAGCAAATCCTGAGTTGCCCATTGCCACCTGTCAGTCTCCAAATAGAAACTCAGGCTCTGTCTGGGACCACTGGTAGCTTAAGGAATTTTCTCATTTTCGTTAAGGAAATGAAAAGGCAGGAGTAATAATTTGCAATTATATGGTGCTTTGTACCTGTAATGGGAAGCTTTTTAAAACTTCATTTCATTTAATCTTAGGCTTTTTAAATTTAAAATTCCCCTGACCTCTTTCCAGGCCTCACCCATAAAAAATGTCTACATGCCAGTCCGTTGCTGATAGCTGCATTAATTCTTTTTCACATCCTGCTGTTCTTACAGTCCTCTGCTCTGAGACCCAAATGGGCTTTCTGTGCTCTTTTATTCTTTAATTTCTGCTCCAGGTTGAGCTGTGCATGACAGTGTCAGGTTTTAAAAGAGCCCTTTGTGTATAATGAGGTGGCACTCTTGTTTGCTTTCAGTTTTGCTATTTCTAACCTATTTTGTCACAGATTTTAGGTTATTGGCTCTCCCATGATTGAGGTCTGCTCTTGGTTTGTACTTTTCATGAATGTTTATCTTTTCTTTTGGTACTGGGGGTCGTACTCGGGTTCCTGCTCTTCCAAGGCATGTGGTGTAACCACTGAGCTAAATCCCCGGCCTGATGTTTATCTTTTGAGATGAGGTCTTACCATATTGCCCAGGATGGCCTCATTAAACTCCTGGGCCAAAGCAATCCTCCTGCCTCAGCTTCCGCCTTCAGTGTTTGATGTATTTTTTTTAGTACCTACTTTGTTCAGGGCAGTATTCTTGGTAAGCACATACATGCTGCATGGAGATTCCTGCTGAAACTGAGGAACCACCTGAGTTGGGAGGCAGACAAACTCCTAAGTGAGGCAGGCTCAGGGGATGGTAGGTGTTGGGTGGGAGCTGAAACTTCCAGGACAGAGGATGTATTATTAGCCTGCTCATGTTGCCGTAACAAAATACCAAGGGTGAAGGGCCTTAAGCAAAAAAAAAGTTTAGATTTCACAGTTCAGGAGGCTGGGCAGTCCCAAAGTCAAGGTTCTGGTCTGTTTGGTATTCATCCATCCATCCATTTATTTATTTTATTTTGTGGTTTTTGGAGACAGGGTTTTGCTTTGTAGTCCAGGCTGGCCTTGAACTCACTGTGTAGCCCAGACTGGCCTTGGACTCACTATGTAGCCCAGGCTGGCCTCCCGAGTGCTGGGATTACAGGCAAACACCAGCACCGCCTGGTCAAGACTCTTTAAATAGTCATAAGCTGGGTATGGTGGTGCACCCCTAGGATACTGGCTTTTGTGAGGCTGAGCAGGTGAATCGCTGGGATTTAAAGGCCAGTCTGGGTTACACAGTGAGTTCAAGACCATCCTAAACTGCATAGTGAGGCCCTGCCTCAAAAAACCAAGAAAAAAAAGTCATGTTGTAGGGGATAAGGTTTCAACATGAATTTTGGGCAGGGGCACATAGTTTGTAACAGACCTGTCTTTCGCTGAAGACAAGGAGTGAGGCACTTGGACATGTCGGGGAGGGGCCTTTGGAGTGAAGGAAGGCCTGATGCAAGTAGCTGCAAGGCCTGAGCAGCTTTGAGGTCTGACCCTGAAAGGCCATGTGGAAGTCTCTTTATCGGCCTGCAGGTTTCCCATTGAGGAGCCTGGGAGCCAGCAGACTGTTTTGAGTACAGGAGGGGTGAAGGCTGATTTAGCTTTTTTTTGTGCTAGGGTTGAACCTAGGACCCTTGCATGGTAAGCATGCACTCTGCCGCTGAGCTACATGACTAGTTCCCTATCTTTTTCTGTGTTTTTTCCTGTATTTTGGATTAAACCTAGAGCCTTCACACTGAACTCTACATCCCAGCCTTTGTTTTTATTTGGAGACAGGATCTCACTAAGTTATCCAGGCTGACCTTGAATTTGTGATCCTCCTGCCTCAGCCTCCCGAGTGTTGGGACTCCAGGTGAGCACCACCATGCTGAGCTGGTGTGCTCTGAGGTTGGGCTGTGGAGATGCGCTGATGAGTGAGTGCCTGGACAGGATGTGACCATGGCCAAGGTGCCTGAGCAGATTCTAGGCACAGGAGGCCTTGACGCCAGCCTGACACAGGTGGTGAGGAAACCGTATGCTCCAGATTTCCTTCTCATTGGCACTGCAGTCTCCCTGGGTGTTCCTTGTTGTTCTTGTCCTAATTCCCTCAACAACAGCAGGTCTGGGTGGGCGCTAGAGTGTGGAGTTCACTCCTGGAAAGAAAGTGGCTTTCTGTAGTCCAAGAGAGCTGTCCCCGCCCATGGCTTCGGTGGGAAGCATCTGGTGGCTGGGTTTCCATTGCATTGATGCTGGCGTAGTCACCCAGCTAGGTCCCTGGCTCTGTTACACACACTGCGGTTTATTTAATAAGGTACACGGCACCGTAGCAGCCTCTCCTAGCAGGCAGGGAGCCTTGTGACTGGACATTGGGCAGGCAGGGTGCTTCTGGTCTGTGTCTTCTCCACAAAAGAACTGGATGGAGCTTGCTGACTTCTCTTGAGTTAGTGCTTTGGCCTTGAGCTCTTCTGCTCCTGATCCTGAAATCATGATCCCTCCATGAGAGAGTGCCGCTTCCTGGCTGCTGAAGCTCAGGGCTCTGAGTTCCCCTGGTAGAGAAGCCAGGGTCAACTGGGTGAGGTACTCTGCCCAGCCCTTCCTGAGGTCATTGAGTCACAGCAGATGATGATGGGAGGGGTATGAACCATTCCCACTTTGTTGGGAGGCTGAGGATGCTGTGATTCAGAAGGTGGGCACCTCCCTGCAAATCAGCTTGCTGTAAAGGATTTGATCTGTGGATGGTTAAGCTCCAGGTTAACCTCAAGTTATTCGGAGCCTCTTGTTCAGGATGTTTTTCAAGGCCTTGATGGAAGGTTATGGCTGACCAGGAGGAAGACACCTTCGGCCTGAGCAGAGGGTGAGGTGGAAAGGCAGGCAGGGGCAGCGAGTGGTCAGCCAGGCTGCAGGGACGCCTGAGTGTGTGTGATGGGCCAGGCAGAAGGACTGTGACTCTCAGGAGAGCCAGAGATTGCCAGGACCCTGGTGCATTGGAGTGGCGTACGGGGAGCGGGCCCTTCGCTTGGTCCTGCCTCCTTTGGCCTGGAGTTCATTCCTGAGCACAGGGTTTTCCTTATGCACCCCAACTTGGACTCCCTTCTGATCATTCCCCCATTTGTCCTGTATAAATTTTAGGGACACAATTTTATTGTTAAATGCTGGTTTCACTTCACTCAAGTAAATATATAGATACCAGCAGCTTATCCTGGTGTTTGAATAGCTGGGAGGGATGGCACACACCTGTGGTCCTAGTGCACACGTAGTTCCTGTGTTCTGAGGCTCAAGCAGAAGGATTTCAAGGTCAAGGCCAGCTTGGACTACTCCCATTTTACTCTTTTCCTTTGCCA